CACAAACCGAAATAGAACACATACAAATCAAATAATATGCATTATTATAAAAGTTTCAACTTAAAATAAATCGAAATACCTCGATTTAGAATTTTCGGAAAGCAAATAGATCGAAAATTTGACTCCGAAAGCGTGAATCAACAATAACAAGAAGCTCTACTCGAGTGTGGCACCTACGTTCTTCAAGTTTTANTCCAATTTTTTTTTTTTTTTTTTAATGCCGGACAGTAGGGGGACCAATTTTTGGAATGGGGATTAGAATAATGGTGAAGAAGAAGACGGTGAAAGAAGATGGAGGGTTTTATGGTGAGGGATATAACGCCAGGTTTTCTGGCGCTATATCACTGTGTCAGTGTATAACGCCAGAAAACCTGGCGCTATATCACTGTAACAGTGTATAACGCCAGAAATAGTGGCGCTATATATTAACGGTGCTGTTACCGTTAATATATAGCGCCACTATTTCTGGCGTTATATATATTATGGTCACCTTTTTTTTTTACACCTATTTATGTGTTTTGAGTCCAAAATAGCAACATTTTGATTCCGGACTCGCTGTAATAGCCCCAAAGGTGAACTGTCATTTTATATCCACCTTATTTTGGACCACTCTACCTCTTACACCATCCTCCACCTATCTTTCATTAAAACTCAGCAGTTCAGGCTTCCTTACCTTCTTCAGTAAATAGCAATGTTTCAAAGGAGAAAGAAACTTTTTCTTAGGCCCCCTCTCCATACATACAAATTAAGGACGGTAGATAGTAGTTGCATTGAAATTGGCTTAAGAACATTGGAGGCCTAAAACCAAATTTTATTAAGAGGCTTTAAACTTTTAAAAAATAATATTGAATAACCTAATTCATGCTTTACAGCAGAATTCTGATAAAATAACAAAGGCAATATTACTATATACGGTAAAAATAGAAAAAACAATAATTTCAAATTTAAAGAAAAAAATAGCGGCAACTAATTATAGAAATTGATAACTTGATATCAGAATAAAATTTTATTTTTTGAAGAAAAATTACCATAAAGTGAACCTATTATTAATTTTAAAAAGGGCCTTAAAATTTTGGGAGCCTAAAATCATTGCTTTACTGGTTTTGCCCTTGAGCCGACACTATAACCACTTAAACTTAAGGAGAAAGTCTAATGCATGCTTGAGAAGAACTTGTTATACGAATTCTGTGTGGTGGGACTTCTCTATCATCTGCCAAAATTCAAAAGAAATGAAAGACCAAAATGTTAATTTTTTTGCCATATTATACTTATTTTGGAAAACTCATTCACCAATTTAACAATTTCCTTTCTCTACCCAAGCATGGTGAGTAGAACTAAACGTATTTCTGTAGGTTATGCTTAATTTTTTTTTAATTAAAAAAATTGGACTAATATGAAACGTCCATAGTTTGTGTAGACGAAGTTTTTTGGAATGTACAAACAGACATCTAACATCTAATAAGCATATGTAGCGTGTACATAACAACAATCCATTTATTGAATTTGTGACATGTGTAGTGAAATGATAAGAACTCCTTAATTTTTTAGAAAAGAATCGTTAGATGAATTTTCTGCGTTGTTTTTATTTTTATTTTTTCAGCACAAATTCAAATTAATTGTATCAATTATCAATGAGTTTTTGCTACGTAATGACCAATTGATTAAGTGTCGTTTGGATATAAGAATTGTGAAATTTCGGAAAAGTAAAAAAAATCAAGTGAAAATGATATTTACAAATTAGAGTTGTGTTTGAACATGAATACTATTTGGAGTTGTTTTTTTTAATTTTTGTGAGTGATTTGTAGTGAATTTTGAAAAATAACTTTTTATTTTTAAAAATTTTTGAAATTTAGCTAGTGTTTGGCCATAGATTCCCAAATTTGTTTTGCAAAAATCTGGTTTGGGTGAAATTTGGTTTGAAGATGAAAATGTGTTTGGACATCAGTTATCAAAACATATTTCCCAAATTTATTTTTGAAAAACATGAAACATGACTTATACCCACAAGTTCTAAAAACTATCACAAATACCCAACAATACCATTATCAATAACCTTCATTATATTATCGCTAATCATAGTCCTGAACATCAATAAATTTTGGTACAAAATTATCATTTTTATAATAAACTACATGATACACTATCAGATGACCGAGAAGACGAAGTAACATTGTTACAAAATAATAAATGGTGGGCTCTTTTATAAAATACAAAAGTTTGGGGAAATTTTAAAAAAAATGTAATAGCGATATTTTGGCCAAAAATCAGCAATTGAGTTGGTTTTGGAATTTGAGATTTGGGATTTTGCCAAAATGGACGTAAAATCCATGGCCAACCATGTGTTTGCCAAATAAAACCCAAATTTATTTAGATAAAATTTATGGCAAAACGGGTCCTCAACTTCAAGTGAAATTTAAAATAGTTATGGTCAATAATTTCGAAAAAAGTAAAAGAATTTCGGTAAAAAATGAAATTTTTTTTAAGGCCAAACGGCAAACGGCCCTAAAAAGAAAAAAGAGAAGAGGTGCAATTCCTAATTTCACCTTTTAAGAAATAGGTATTTGCATTTAATTTCTGTCTTCATTACCAATTAATAATTCCCGTCAATCTCTCTCTTTTTGTATCAATCCCTCTTTCAATTCACCAAAATTGCAAGAAGAAGAAGAACCGAACAGAACCCAAAATCCTCAAATCTTTCCCTCCGCATCAATGGCTGAAATGGAAGAAACTCCGCAGACCCAATTAGAACCCAGTAATTCCCACGACACCCAGAAGAATTTTTCATTCAGCATTTGGCCACCCACACAGCGCACCCGTGACGCCGTCATTCAGCGTCTCATCGAAACTCTCTCTACCCCTTCTATCCTCTCCAAACGTTACGGCACTCTCACAAATGAAGAGGCTTCAGATATTGCCAGGTCCATAGAGGAAGAGGCCTTTACCTTTGCTGGATCCTCTGTCTCCCCTGACGATGATGGAATCGAGATCCTTCAGGTATGTTAAGGGTTCAACTCAACTCACTACTTTCAACTTGAACCATTGTACGTATATACGAAGAGACTTAAGAAATTTATGTATAGTAGTACTCGCTCTGTTCCAATTTATGTGATACTCTTTACTTCTTAGCCATTTTTATATTTAGTAATAATTTAATTTTAAACTTTCCATGTTAATTAACATCTCTGCCCTGAAAATTATACTGTTTGGATAGGTAAAAATTATCTTTATATATTTACATACTATGTATTGAATTCCATTGTCTTTTTCAAGTATTTACTTCTTTAAATTTTGACTCTCTTAGTTAAATCCTGGCTCCCCTACTGAATGATATTATTTATAGCGAAGAAAATGCCTACGGGTGGTTTTAGACAGAGGCGGATCCAGGATTTTAAGTTTATGGGTTCCTGTCGCAATTTCAAATTAATATATAATAATAACTGGGTTCACAAATAGATATTTATAGATATTTAATAATTTTTTTAACAAAAGTACAGGAACTACGCAAAAGTTACTGGGTTCCCGGGAACCCGTATATTACACCCTAGATCCGCCCCTGGTTTTAGACCACATGTTTCAAAAGCGTTTCTTTCGGCAAAGAGAGTATAACGTACTACATCTCACCCACTTATAGGCGGATCTAGCTTGTAACTTATGGGTTCACGTGAATGTAGTAGCCTTTGCCAAGACGCTCTATATGTATTAAGAAATTCACTAAATATCTATAAATAATTGATTGTGAACCTAGTTATTATTGTATATTGACTTGATGTTGTTGGAGGAACTCATAAACATCAAATCCTGGATCTGTTTCTGTACTTAAATTGTGATATGTATCTCTTTAGGAATACTACCATGTATATGTATAATAAACTGCAGTTTTTAAGGTCCAGTGACTAAATGGTGGATATTTATCTGCTTTAGGTATACTCCAAGGAGATTAGCAAGCGTATGCTGGACGCTGTGAAGTCTAGATCTGCTGCTACCACTTCCCCGGAAGCTGAAAGTAAACCTTCAGAGTCGCTGGCGGATGCTTCGGAGTCTTCTGCTCACACTGGGGAAATCTCATCCATTGAAACCGAGTCTTGAAAATTGCAACGAGGTCATTTAGTTTTCGTCTAATTGACTCTGCAGTGAGAAAAACTCTAGTTTTGGTTAATTTAGGTGTTCTGAGATCTCATTGTGCTGTTTATGTGTTATGTAGATCGATATATATAATGTTGGATCAATAAACATCTATTTGACAGCCTCCTGATTCATTGCCTCCTGAGTAACATGCATAAGTTTGAGGGTTCCTGATATAAAGTCTAGATTCTGCCTGTGCTTTGTTATATCTGTCACTAATGTCCATTGATGCGGACGGGATTGACTAGACTTTGTATTTTATTTCTGGGAGTCGGTTGAAAATTGGGGGATGCGTTTATTTTTTGTTTTTCTATTCTTCACATTTTTTACTATTTTTAACTTGCTATGTGTATGTGATCACAAACTCAAATAAAGCAAGAGAGTTGAGGTTCTATGTGATTAGAAACTCAGATAAAGGAGGAGTGTTGAGGTCTCTAGATGTTAGCGTAAAAGTAATTCCGATAGATACTGAGTAATCATACAACCTACCTTAGCTAATTTGGGATTGAAGCTTAATTGATTGTTATGTTTTATTTTTACGTTTTTATGATTGGTGCTTAATCATCCTCCTCATCTTGATTGTGCTATAACAACCGTGGTTCTTAGGGATGCTCTTTTGACGGGATGTGTCATTTATTGCTTGTGTCGTCATGTGACACAAATAAGTACAATATCTACTCCCTTGATAAGATTTGGGGTTATTGCTTCTCTGTTAATTAAGATGGTGAATACTATTATTGTTTACTTGGATATTTGGTTGTTTTTGTATGGACATGACTTAGTGCTGGATTTCGACATTACTTTAGAGAAAAATGATACACATTTTATTGATATTGCTTACATTTGTGTCAGAGGTAGTTCTCCAGGTTGGTTCATGGCATTTTGGACTGCCGTTTGCCCCTAATGAACCCGCTATGCATTGGTTAATTGTGATGTATAATAAGTCTTGTTCTCGTATTCAAGGGGACACTGATCCAACTTATGATTTCTAGATACTTCTGCTACACATCAGGAAGGTGTTTGATTATAGGGGCATGCTGTTTGGAAATAACATATCTCAAGTTATGTATTGTCCATGAAAAGAGCAGCGCTTCTATTTCTACGCTTAATAGGATCACAACAAAAAAATGTAATCCCCAAGTTCTTTTTCGGTGCAAGTTACAAACCCCTCTATTGATATTTAACTGTTATTTGCTGTATAATTTCTTTGTGATCCTTTTAAAGATAGAAACAGAAGTGGCTACTCCTTTTGCTTGGATTATTGTTTTGATTATAGAGTAAGCGGGACTACAAATTCAATGATCTGAGCGGTCTGAGCTAAGAAGTTCATTCATTTGAGTGTTGTATTTAGCTTTTTTTCCCCCAGGATCTGTTCTATTGAGCTTCCTATGTACAGTATTTGTTTGTTTGCTGTTCATTTTCAGGGTTGGCTGGTGTTTCTGGGCATAAATTAAGTACTCTTTGATTCTCCTATGTAATTCTTTTTTTCTTTTCTTCATTTCTTCTACCTGTATCATGACCTTGCACCCCCAAAATTCCTCTACCGTTATTATTCTCCTTCGATTCTCCTTCCAGATTCAAAGCTGATCCAAAACTACATAAAGGAATTAGTTATTTACTGTCACGCACTAAAGAGATTCACTTGGTAGGTTGTTGGAACATAAAGGAATTAGTTATTTACTGTCACGCACTAAAAAGATTCACTTGGTAGGTTGTTGGATCATCAAACTAGAAAGAAGGTGTTGGCATTGTCTCTATCTTATCCTCGTTCCACATGTAATTTCAGTCCCAGTGGTTGATTAAAAACTTGAAAAATATAAGTCACCATTAAAGGTCGTTCGAAGCTTTGATTTCATAAATTGGGTTTTCTATTAGTTGTTTGGATCGGGTGTTGTCCAATTGATTAGAATTATCAAGAGGAGTTCAAAATTTAAATTTAAGTAACGCGGAGTAGATTTGACTTAAATTTTAAGAGAGGCTCAAGGAAGAGGAAGAACCCGTGAAGCTCTATTGATAGGATTTATTTGTATAAAAAGTGTATAATTTTGTATGATAGTGTATAAACACATCTTATGCACTATTATATACGGGGTTGATACATTATTTATAGGTATTTGGTGGATTTCTCCCATCATATACATAGTGTATCACGAACATTTTCACTATTATGCTTACACATATTTATACAATTTTATACAACTATATACATACTGTACCTCCTTGTATAAAAGTATATTACATTGTATAAAAGAGTATAAGCGCCTCTGACAAACTTGTATAGTTTTCACTAGCAATTATTGTTCAAAACTAGTCTAAATCTCCATCAAATGACTTCAAAATTTGTATACAGCCTCCTTAGACTATTTGTAATAAGTCTAAATAACACTCACTCCAAATTTCTCACAAAATCACATTCGAAATTTGACAAGATGAGCATTAGAGAAGATGAGATTTTAGGTTTCTCGCATATGTTTTTACGTTCTAGAGAATTAAAAAAACAGAATTTGTTTGAATCTGGGCTCTACAATATTGCAAGGTCAGCTTATGAACCGATTTATTGTGTAATTCTTTCTTAAATAAAAAAAAAAAAAAAGATACGTGAAACTCCTTCGAATCCAGCTCTTTGCGCGACGGAGCAGCAACTTTCTATGAAGAACTTGAACTGGGAACCTGTTTAGTGTCTTCAAACAACGAGGTCACATAGGTCCCAATACTTGGGTTATTCTGGTCTATTGTGTAACTTAAAAACAATTTCCATTGCTGATAGAATCCAACCTCAAATTTATATGTGGAATGAATGTGCAAGTAACAGGACAAAATTGGGGAGTTGGAAGCCTTTGCATTGAGTGTATTTGCATGGATATACTTGCCCCTTTAGAGTTTAAACCCAATTTTAAGTCTTGGTGAACAGATACCTGATACGTGTGCTGGTGAAAGATACTAGATATTCGGTGGAATAATCGAGTTGCCCGTAAGCTGGCTCGAATACCGCCCTCAAGGCCTCAACCACAAAAAGTAAAGGATATGGACGATGAATTATATTCTTAAACTGGAAAGAATCTGAATGTGCAAATAGACAAACGCCATCTTAGGGAGATCTATGTTTGTAGGGAGTTGAAACTTAACTTACATAGATGGTAAACAGTTGGAATAATGAAACCAAGGCTCTCAAATTCGAAGTACCAGAATGGGTAAGATGAACCTAACGTAGACTCCAAGACCCTCCAGTCCACAATAAGTGACATATTTGCTTTGGGCACACCTATTAAGGAAATATTAAATTCTAGATAAAAGTAGTTAGTATGACTAAATTACCCTTAATTAAATATTGCAGCATAGTTAATGTGATGAGTAAAAAACTTTTTAAGGATACGTACATGAGGGTAATTTTGAAAAAACAAATTGAATTGTTTCTTGGTTATATAAATTGTCACTTATTTTGGACCAAAATAAAAAAAGTAAATTGATCACTTATTGTGGGCCGGATAGAGTATTTTTTATTCACGTTTAGTTATTTACTATGGTAGTCAAACATCTTTTGAACTTCAAGCGATCATTAATATGGCGTGATAGTACAATAGTAAATTTATCTTAAAGAAATTTAAATATTACATAAATCATTAATCTAGCTTAACAACTTCACTTCATACACTAACCTAATCATTACAATTTACACCAGCACCATTAAACACATTTCAGTCTCTTTGCAATAAAGTTGTGAAACTCTTTATTCTAGATTATATTCTGATGAGTGATGGGGGAAGTGCAGAAATAGACGTTTTTCGGGACCCATATTTAAAGAATAATTAAGATTTACAATAGTTTTTAAGTTTAGGCGTTTCTGAATCACTTCAGACTATTAGGTCTTAATTAATTAAAATCGAGTTTCAAACCAATATTTTAAAAGGCGGGGGCGTGAGGCGAAACGATTTACCTCTAACGAGGTGAGGTGTAAGCCCTGAGACATGGGCGTAAGTCCCATGGATCTTTAAATTTTACTAATTTCAAGAATTTTAAGATAGTATAAAGTAAAAAATAATCATAAAAATTACATTAAAATCATAAAATTATAATAAATAATCTATTTATAATTCAACTATGAATATATGAAAAGTATGACATATATCGCAAATTAGTTGCACGTCGTTACAACTCAAACATCAAAAGTAATGCATTTGATACAAAATGTTATATGTATCTCTTAAGGAGTAATAAATTTTGAAAGAATTTCGATATTATAATTTGATATTTTTCTTAAAATACTCCTTCTATTTAATATGCTTTCTATTTGAAAGAGAATTTATATAAAAACATAATTCACAATTTAAATATGATTCTCTAGCGTCATTTATTTTTAAGTTTGAACAAGTTAATAAAGTGACACATAATTCACCATACAATACCATGATAACTAATTATTTAAAAATAGTTACTAGCTAATACTGAGCTATTAAATTAATAAGTATTGTATCTCGTAAACGTGAAAAAAATAATATTTAGAGAAATAATTATGAAAAAATTACGGACTATTATATAGTAAAGACACAAAAATTAATAAATAAAAATTTTTTAAATGAAAGATTTATTTAAAATTAACTATCACAGCAGTCTTAGTGAATAACGTGCAATAATTTTATTTTAATTATGACATAAAATACTCTCAAATTAATGATTTATGATTAAGAAAAAAGTAAATTTGAATAGTCAATGATTTATTAAAAAAATTTGAGGATTTACAAGGTTAGTTACATACCATTGCATAAAGTTCTACTAGGCGAGCCCAGTATGCTGGGTGTTGGGCGTGTCCGGGACGTAAGCCCCGATGGCTGAGGCGTAAGTCTCACGAAATTAATTCCCACGCATAAGTCCAGGGGCGTTTTACGAGTGTTCCGCCACGGGGCGAGCCCCGGACAAGTCTTAATTCTGCCTTTTAAAACAGAGTTTCAAACTCAGACCCGGCTCTATCAAAACCTAACTTCAATCTTAAGCTTGTACGCAGCCGAACTTCAGAGTTCAGAGATGGTCTGGATTTAATTTTCACTTCCCTTCTTTTTTCTTTTACAACTCCACTTTTTCCTTTTTCCTAATGTTAAGAATAAAAGTAAATAAATTTACCGCAACGGTTGTTTAGTCTAAACCTAATAGCATCCAGACAAATCCTTTCTCAATTTGAAAACGAAGACCACCATGTGTG